TGGCTCAGTGGAACAATCATGGAGCACGTGTAAGGCCCTGGGTTTGATCCTCTGTGGGGACAAGTGCATGGAGTGCTGCATACTTGGCATACATTAAGGGCTCTGAGTGGTAGGCCACTCCCCTCATGCTAGGTGTGTGAGTGGCAGGCTCCTTACCCCGAAGGTACATTATCATATCATTATCACTAATTATATTACCCCCGAAGGCACAGCCCTGGAGGTGAGGCCATGTGTTGAAGTTCCTGTGCTTGCTCCATAGCCCACTCCTTAGCTGGTCGCTGCAAGAACAGTTAGCAGAAATTGCATTGGTGGCTTCCTATAATCTGCTTAACTACTGCCTGAGTATATATACATGATAACTGTGCAGTAAAATCAGACCTGCTTCCTGCTTGGTCTCCAAAGGTCTTGATTAGGGACTCTGCAGCCACACTGTCCTCTAATCTGTTCCACAGACCTCCTCGCTGGATGAGAGAGAGCCCCACAATCCTCAACACCCCATAAAAATAAATAAAATAAAGGTATTGTGTCTAACTACAACTAAAAAAAAAAGGAAAAAAAAAAAAACTACAGACCAACATATCTGATGAACACAGATATAAAACTTCTCAATAAAATACTTACAAATAGTTTTCAATAGCACATACCAAAAAGATCATATATGCCATGATCAACTTGGTTTCATTCTAGAGATGCAATGATGGTTCAACATATTATTCAATAAACATAATAGAGCACATAAAGAGAATGAAGGGAAAATATCACTTGATATCATTTGATGAAAAATCTCAATTGGCATCATTTCAAAGGCAGAAATAGTCTTTAACAGAACAATACATTCCTCCACAGTAAAACACCTGAATAAAATAGGTATAGAAGGATCAAACCTGAATATAATTAATGATATATATGACAAAGCCATAGCCAAAATCATACTGAATGGGGAAAAACTAAAAGCATTTCCTCTAAGATCAGGATCAAGACAAGGGTACCCACTCTTACCACTCTTCTTCAATATAGTACTGGAAATTTAAACTAAGCAATCACTAACAGAAAGAAAGAAAATGCATATAAATAGGAAAGGAAGTCAAATAATCCCAGTTTACTAAAATGATTCTATATATAGAAAATCTTAAATGCTTTACCAAAAGACTTTTAGAACTAATAAAGTCAGTAAAATAGCGATATAAAATCAACACAAAACATCAGCAGGTTTTCTATACATCAATAATGAACTCACTGAGAAAGAAATCAGGCAAGTAAATCATTCACAACAGTCACAAAACAATAATAATAATAATAATAATAATAATATTACATTATTACATATGTGTGTGCATTTATGTGTATATACATGTGTAAATATATATTATATGGAAACTAAATAAAAGATAACTTGAAAATAGAGGCAATTTAGGTACTAGGAAGGGTACTCGTAGGAGGGGAGTGAGTAGAGAGTATGACAGAAGGTAGAAGGGAAGGTGGACATGATCAATGCACTGTTATACATGTGTATGGAAATGCCATACAGAAACTCATTAATTTGGAAAATAAATGTGTTAATAAAATATAATTTTGTGTTTTATTATTTATACATCATTTATATGTGAAATATAATACAAAAATAAAATTTAGCACTCTATTAAAAATTAAAAGTAAATTAATGGAAAAAATAAGTCATTCTGTTCATATTTGCATAACAGAAGATTTATTCCATCTAAATCAGAGCAGTTTTTAATGTCAATGGGAAGAATCCACAATACACTCTTTTTTCTCCTCCTCCCAAATACATCTACAGTTACACAACAACAAAAAAAGGAAATGTACGTTGTCCCATTATCCAAGTCCCATTCCCTAAGAAAGGCATTTTAATGGCTTATACTTTTATGCTTACAGTAGTTTCCCCTTCATCAATGGTTTTGTTTTCCATAGTTTCAGTTACCCATGGTCAACTGGGTCTAAAAATATTAGCAGCAAATTCCAGAAATAAATAATTCATATGTTCTAAATATTGTTGATTATTCAAGATTGTGGATTAGAAGAAGGCTGCATTTCCATTTGCTCCATGGATTGGGATTCAAGTAGTAGGAGTACTACTTCTTATCGAGGCGGGTAAAAGCAGAAACTCACTGAAATTCAATACTGGATATCAGAGTATCTTAGAGACTCAGAAATTTGCATGCACTGAACAAAGTACAAGAAGAGTACATTGGAACCAAGCTGGTTACAGTGGTGGTGGCAGCACTGGGTCACTACTGAGGGGAAGGATAACAAACGCCAACAAACATGGGATGAAAAAACCTGTAGAAAAGAAAAGTGGCCTGAATGTAGCAGATTCAGAGGCTGCACAGCAAATGGTATTTGAAAAGTGCTCTGGGTTTCTTAACTGGCAAGCAAAGAACTGAAGCCGGGAGCCATCTTGAGGAGGCCATACTGCAGTTTGCTGCTGCAAAAGCCCAGGAAATCAAAGCAAATATTGCCATACTTTCCCAGCAAGTGCCTACATGATTGAAACAGGCACAGAGAAGATTGTAACTAGGGGAATTCAAATCACAGATACAGAGGGGAGTACAACTTACTTCGCTTTTGAGTCAAGCAGCTCATGTGACCTGCTGAAAAGGGTCAAGAAACTGAACAGATAGGCATGGAAACATTTTGGGACTAAGCCTTGAAAACTGTATTCATTGATGTAGACTATGAGAGACATGTGGAAGGATTGGCTCCCCTACCCTTTGAGTAGAATTCTTAGGAGGCTTCTAAAATCCAGATTTCCAGCAGAGATCAGGGTTTGCCTAGCCTTAGGGACAGAGCAGACACCACCACCCAATGAAGTCCCCTCTAGAGGCCTGACTACTGCTATACTCCAGGCACTGAAATTCCCCACTTAGAAATCCACCAGCAGTTTCTACCCTGCAAGTACACTGATTTGGTCTGTCTAGACAAAACTCCAATTGACACTACTTTCCATTCCATCCTACCTTCCCTGGTGAGAAGGGAAGCTAAGAGTGATTTCGACTAGCCTCAGTAATAGGCCATTGCAGATGACAGCTCAGTGAGCAACACAATAAGAGGAAGAGTTTAACAACCCCAGCCCTTGCTTTAAGTGGTATATAGCCCAAGACAAAATGAAAAGAAGGGGGCTGGGGATATAGCTCAGTTGGAAGTGTGTTTGCCTCACTACACAAGTCACTGGGTTCAATCCCCAGCACCACAAAAAAAAAAAAAAAAAAAGAAAGAAAAGAAAAGAAGGGCAGTTGAGCATAGGCAGTTACTATTCATCCTTGTTAACACTTTCAACCACCTCAATGGATACAATTCTTCCATTTTTCATTAAGAATCTTGTGTGTGTGTTCTTACTGTACAGATTGATTCATGAATATATGGTTCATGGATACATAATACACATATTTGTTTCTTTTCTCATTTTTAGCACTTTTTATTTAAAACTTGTTTTTCTTTGTATTGTCTTTTGAGCATTAGAATGTTTGTTTTGTTTTTGTTTCTCTTATTTCTTTCTCTCCTTCTCCCTTAATAGACAAATTCTCTTTTTTTATCTCTTTTACTTGTTTCTTTCATTTTTTTTCTCCTTCTCATTTATAGCAATCCCTTGCTACATCACTTTACTTTCTCTCTCTTCACATTTTGAACATTCAAGTCAATACAGGATATGAATGAGAAATTCAAAAAGGAGATAAGAGATACTGAAAAAGAACCAAACAGAAATCTTAGAAATGCAAGACAATAAATCAAATAAAAATGTTCAGTTGAAAGTCTCTCTAATGATAGAGCAGATCATGCTAAACACAGAATCTCAAAGCTAGAAGACAATGTGACTGGCCTTGAACATTCAGACAGTATTAAAGAAAAGAAAAAAGTAACCAAGACCAGAATATAGAACAACTGGGACAATATTAAGAGACCAGATTAAAGAATCACTGGAATCAAAGAGAGGTATGAGATGCAGACTAATGGAATGGATAACCTTTTTAGAATTTTCAAACCTTGTGAATGAGATGGATATCCAAATACAGAATGCATTAACAACCCTAGACAAGATCAAAAAAGAACTGATTCACAACATAGTATAATTAAAATAAATGCCTAACACAGGAACAAGAATAGAATTTTAAATGCCTCAAGAGAAAAACATCAAGTAACATTAACTACTTCTGCTTTCTTAGCACAAACTCTAAAATCCATAAAGGTTTAGAATGATGTGTTCCAAGTCGTAAAAGAAAATACCTATCAACCAAAATTGCAATATCTAGCAAAGTTATCTTTGAAATAAAAAAGGAAATAAAAACCACCCAAGATAAGCAGAAAACTTTTTTCATTTAATACGGAAACTTGTATTTTTTCTGATAATTGACCTCTATTATTTCCACTATTTTGAAACTTCTGCTGGTTAAATAACAGACCTGCTCTCTTCATCTTTTTGATCTATTTTCAAAGAATTTTAATTTGGTTTATCCTCATAACCATCAACTTTTAAAAACTGTGCTACTAGACATAGTGGCACACACATACAACTCCAGTAACTTGGGAGGCAAAGCCAGAAGGATCACAAAATTCAAGGCTAACTTCAGCAACTTAGCAAGACCTTTTCTCAAAATTAAAACTGTAAAGGTCTGGAGATGTAGTTCAGTGGTAAAGCACTCAAGACCAAGTCCAATGCCCAGTACCAAAATAAATGAATGAATAAGCAAAAATAAAAACTGCGCCAACATTTTCACTTCAAAGAACTCTCCTTTCTGATTTTAAAATAATTACTTTGTTCTTGCTTTATTGAGGCAATATATTTTCATTTCTGAGAATAGTAAACATGCACTTTCCTGTTTGTCTCTACTAATTTGAGGATTCTTTTACATAGTGTCAGTTTCTTCTGTTTATCATAGGCTTTTTATTTATACACTATTAATTTTATTTCTTTGAAGAGAATTCTTCGTTGGCCATTTGTTTTAGTTAGCTTTTTTGGTGCTGTGACCTTAAAACCTAACACTAACAATTTTAGAGGAGGAAAAGTTTATTTGGAACACAAGGTTTCAGGTCTCAGTCCACAGCCAGCCAGCTCCATTGCTCTGGGCCCTAGGTGAGATGGAACATTACAGCAGAGGAGTGTGGTAGAGGAAAGCAGCTAAAGACATGGCACCTGGAAGCGGAGAGAGAAAGACTAATTACTCCACTCAAAGGGACAAAATATATACCCCATGGGCATGACCCACCTCCTCCAGCCATACCCTATCTGCCTTCAGTTACCACCAGTTAATTCCTATTAGATTTACTGCGCTGATTAGATTAAGGCTCTCATAACTCAATCATCTTACCTCTAAACTTTCTTGCATTGTCTTACCCATGAGAGACACCTAATATCTAAACCATAACATTCACATTTAACAAGAATAAATAGAAACACTGTGCATTATTAGTGAGGCTTCTGGACTGGTACATTTTGTTTTAAAATGAAGTGTAAAGAATCAGTCATTATATAAGAAACTGCCTAAAAACTATCTCCAGGCACAAATATCCACCATGACAATACTACTATTCCTCTTTATTTTTATTTCCAGAAGAAATAACCTCTGTATATTTTGTAGAAAGAGAGAAAGGAGTGAGGAGTCAGGGAGTAGAATAGTAACTGTCACTGCATGGGCTTAGGTGGAAAAGGAGGCACAATTGTTCTTTACAAAGTTTTCATTTATTCCTCCCTTCCAATTTTCAATCATCCTTTCTCTTTGACATTTTAATTCTCAAGATTTTGAGATTTTATTAGATACATCAGACTCTTCCTTTGTTGCCGCTCTCTCTTGATTATTTTTGGACAAAGTTTTCTCTGTTTGTTCCATTACTACTCTCTGCCCCTTTCAGAAACATGTTATAATCTCTTGTCCACTATTATGGTATAGATGTGAGGTGCCAAAAATTCATGTGTGAGACAATGAAAGAAGCTTCAGGAGAAATAACTGGGTCATAGCCTTAACCAAAGCAGTGAATTAATCCTTGATGGGATTAACTGGGTGGTAATTGGAGACAGGTGAGGTATGGCTGGAGGAGTGGGTATTGGGGCATGGCTTTGAGGTATATATTTGCATCTGGTGAGTGAAATCTCTCTGCTTCTTGATTATCATGTGAGCTGCTTCCCTCTGCCACACTCTTCTGCCATGATGTCCTGCCTCACCTCGAGCTCTGGGGAATGAAGCCTGCTGTCTATGGATTGAGACCTCTAAAACTATGAACCCCCAAATAAACTTTTCTTTCTCTATAATTGTTCTGGTCAGATCTTTAAGTCACAGCAGCAAAAAAAAAAAAAGTGGACTAAAACATCTACTGAGAATATCTTGATAGTTCTTCAATGTTTATAGGCTTGTTCTTTTTCTTTATTATGTTAGTGTTATCTCCAAAAAGATAAGAGACCAAGTATATATGGTCAGATCTATATCTTTAACAACAAATATGTCATTTTTGAGCCAATTATTTCTAAAAATTATTCTTACCCTTTTCAACAATCTGACATAAACCATCAATTTTCCAAAGTTCATGAAGCTACTACTCAATGCATGCACCCATTGGGTCAAAAAAAAAATTACTGAAGATACAGATGACATTTCAAACAATGAGGAAACCAAGAAGAGCAACATACTGAGACAGGATCTAACTCTTCCGTAGAAAAAACACTTTAAAAAACAGTCACAATAAATTATGTATGTATCCTTTACATGCTCCCCCAAAAGATTACATACTAATTACATGAAAATACTTCCCTGGGCTGGGTTTGTAGCTCAGTGGTAAAGCACTTGGCTAGCACATGTGAGGTACAGGGTTTGATCCTTAGCACCACATAAAAATTAAATAAAGGTATTGTGTCCATCTACAACTAAATATATTTTTTTTAAAAAAGGAGAAGAAGAAGAAAAAATAGTCCCTTAATGATAAATGAAGAATAGCCCCAGGAACACTATAGAATATATTCTTATTTTTGTCATTTCTGATTACTTAAGTTCTGTTTTGAAATAAGGGGCATTTCTAATCTACATATTTTGTTCATCTCATACTACTTTAAAATTCTTCATGACATTTAATAAACAAATATTCCTCAGAAAATATGGCAACTCAAATAGCTAAGATTTCCTTGAGAATGAAAACTTAAGACAAAAATTCACTGTTAAGAAATCAGTCCTTGCAGAAACACTGTTGGTTGCAGGGCTGGCAGAGCTCTCAGAAAAACAACTCAAACAAGCCAATGAAATAGGCAAATGAAAGACAAGTTAAAGGAAAAAAGACCCGGAAATTTGGACCAAAAGGGGAGAGGAGGAAACAGATAATGACCAGATAAAGCCACTATTAGAACAATAATTATTAATTTTTCTTACACAGTATAAAGAAATAAAAACCATACTATAGCCTAATAAGATTATATAACAATGGAGCACTAGAAAAGACTCTAGGGAATCACTTCTTTCTTTGCAAAGATTAAGGAAACTGAGGCCCAGAAAAAAATAATGACTTATTCAAGGTCACAAGTACCTTATCTGAGGTCACAAAGCTCACTTAATAAAACATGAAATAAAATATAAGTTTTCCAACTCTTAGATGAGTGACCAAATCCATATTTCAAAAACAACAATCAGATGAGCATTACCTCATCTTTGAAGCCTCCTCCATTTGTATTTATCCTGGTACTCCTTGCCCTCCCAACCTGGTAAAACTGAAGGAGTATTTCTGTTCCTTTTGAAAGTTAAACCTTTTACCATGCGCTTTTCTCCATATCAAAAACTCTGCTTTGTACAATTGTACCTTCTTTATATGATCATTCATATCAACAAAGAAGCTCTAATGAAGCTGATATTTGACTCCATGTCCTATAATATTTACAACCCAATTTCTCTATTCTAATTTTCCAATTAATTTTTTTGAAAAGTAATCTATAATCTAGAATGTAAACTCCACCTGGTTTTCAACAATTATTTTCTTTGGAACACACACTTGTCAAGTTTTCATGCCCACCACTCCACTGAGACAGCTTTTGCCAAGATCATGAACGATATTCATCTTCCTAAATCCAATAGTCAATTTTCTATCCTATTCCTACTTGATCTCACAGCAGTGTTTGAACCATTCCCTCTCTTAGCTTTTTGTTACTGTGACAAAAGACCTAAGAAAATCAACACAGAGAAGGAAAGATTTATATAGCTCAGTTTCAGAGGTTTCACTTCACAGTCTGGCTCTGTGGCTGTGGGCTTTTGATGAGGCAGAACATTAAGGTAGAGAATATGTGATGGAGCAAAACTGCTCACCTCATAGTGGCCAGAGAGCAGAGAGAGAGAGAGAGGAGCTAGAGTCAAGATATACGCTTCTAGGACATGACCCCCAATCTAGTGACCTACCTCTCCCAACTAGCCCCCACTTCCTAAAGGTTCCACCATATCTCAAGAGTACCACCAGCTAGGGACCAAGCCAACACAGGGGCTTGTGAGAGATACTGCAGATTCAACCCATATCATCCTCCCTTTCTTAAAACATTCTCTTTTCTTAGTTTTCATAGCCATCTGCTTTTTTGGTTTTCTTACTACCCCACTGTTCCTGTTCTCTAAATGCTAGAATACCCATGGCACCACACACCAGCCCTCTTTATGTACACTCTCTCTCAGGTGATCACATATAAATCTGACTTCCAGACTGATATATCCACCTTCCTATTTGACAAATCATTTCAAATTTACATTTTCAAAACTCAAATGGCCATCAGTCTCCTTTCTACCCCAACTCTTCCCTATCTCATTAAGTAGCATCTCTATCTACTTAATTACGTCACAAATTTAGGATCATGCTGGATTTCTTTTTCCCCTCACATAATATACCAAGTCATCCACAAATCCTGGTGGTTTAATCTCCAAAATATATTCCAGATCTGACTATTTCTTACCATTTAAACTGCTAGAGCCCAAGTCTGAGTCATCATCTTTACTCACTTGCAATTCTGCTATAGCCTCCTGATACCATGCTTTCAAGCTTCAATTTCCAGCCAGTTCTTTGCACAGCAGTCAGAAAATGCAACTTGAAACAGATCAGATAGCACTGTTCTCCTGCTTCAATGGCCTCCTAAGGCCATAAGATTCCTTGAGGTCTACAAATTTTTATAAGATTCAGCACTTCTGCCTCCTCCTCCACCCTTATCTCATGCTACTCCTCCCATCTCCCCTTTCAAGCAAGCTGATCTTCTGTGCTTCCAACATGCCAAGTCTCTGTACATGCTGCACCCTCTACCTAGAATTTCAAAGGTGGCTCCTTCTCTTATTCCTTTTCTCAACACAAATGCTACCTTCTCAAAATCAGCTCCACTTGCATGTCTATTAAACTGAGTTCATTAACTCTATCCTATTACTCAGTTTTGTTTTCTTCATAGACCTGTCACCACTACAAATCATCTTACATTTATGATCTTACCAGTCCTACTAAATGTGAGACCCATGCAAACAGAAACCATGTCATCATTACCATGATAATGACACCACTACGCATTATTTGTGAAAAGAATGGTTATTCCATAATGCTTTTTTCCGAACAGGATATCAACAGTTTAATTTAATAAAATTTACCTTTTTTGTTTTAAAGGAAATATTAAATTTTCCCTCTTTCAAAATAATTGCCTAAGAAGTGTGAATCAGGCGGTATAGCGATACCAGACTTCAAACTATACTACAGAGCAATAGTAACAAAAACAGCATGGTACTGGTACCAAAACAGGCGGGTGGACCAATGGTACAGAATAGAGGACACAGAAACCAATCCACAAAACTACAACTATCTTATATTTGATAAAGGGACTAAAAGCATGCAATGGAGGAAGGATAGCATCTTCAACAAATGGTGCTGGGAAAACTGGAAATCCATATGCAACAAAATGAAACTGAATCCCTTTCTCTCGCCATGCACAAAAGTGAATTCAAAATGGATCAAGGAGCTTGATATCAAATCAGAGACACGCCGTCTGATAGAAGAAAAAGTTGGCTACGATCTACATACTGTGGGGTCGGGCTCCAAATTCCTCAATAGGACACCCATAGCACAAGAGTTAATAACTAGAATCAACAAATGGGACTTACTCAAACTAAAAAGTTTTTTCTCAGCAAAAGAAACAATAAGAGAGGTA